TTTAACCCCCCGTGTTTAACCCCCCGTGTTTAACCCCCCGTGTTTAACCCCCCGTGTTTAACCCCCTGTGTTCTCCCTCGGCAGCCGGAGACTCCATGGACGGCTCCAACACCTCGGAGGATCGATGCAAATCCCCCACCTCAGGTAACCTGGAAAACACTTAAGAGTATTTGTGCAGCTGATTTTATTTTAAGGGAACCCTAACGCAGACCCTTAAAGTCTTTAGTGCAACAGTTTAACTAAAGTATTAAACCAAGATAAGGAGAACAGCTTGAATACTCAAGTCAACATGTCAAGGATAATCTTAAGAGGAAGCCTTAAGGGTATTTTATTTCAAGTCAAACTTTAAGGGAAATCTTAACTTAAGGTTTATTGTCAAACGTTTCACTAACTTTAAGGGATTCTTTCATTATCAAACCAAATTAAGGAGAACAGCTTGAATACTAAGGTCAGTATGTTAAGGATAACTTTAAGAGGAAGCCTTAAGTTAAGGGTAATTTATTACAGCAGATTTTATTTTAAGAAATTCCTAATTTTAGGTCTATTGTCAAACTAACTTTAAGGGATTCCTTAAGTGTTAAACCCTAATAAGGATTAAGGTCAATTTACATTTTAAGGAGAGAAGTTGAATTAAGGATGATTGAGTAACCGATTGTACTTAAGAAACTTGTACTTTAAGGTAAATCTTAATTTAAGGTTGTTTGTTAAACGGTTTGACTAACTTTAAGGGATTCCTTAAGTGTTAATCCCTAATAAGAATTATTTGTAAGTGCTCTTTTTAAAAGCTGATGTTTGTCGTTAAGGATCTGCGTCGCCGTGCAACTCGGACGACGAGCGGAAACACAGGTTCATAGAGAAGGGTCTGTACTGAGACGCGTGCTCTGATATATTTACACTTAACTAAAGCAGATTTTAAATAAACACTCTCTCGTTTCCAGTGAAGTCTAAGAGCAGACGCTTTTCCAAGACGGTTGCCAATGACTTTGGTAATTTCCCCTTAAGTGTCGACTCTCTAACCCTCTAATGACTTCCTGTTGGTACTAATCACACGGGGTTTGTGGGAAATCGTGATTTAACAAATGATTTTAATCAAATGCATGACTTTTGTGTGCAGATGTGTAACGGCTGCTGCTGCTCTATTCTCATGGATTCTGCTTTCAGAGTAAATCCTGCAGGAGAACATTTCTTATTTTCTGTGTTTAGAAATCCAAATATATGTTCTTTATTCTGCCCTAAATATAATCAGAATATAATCTGGTTTTATTCCACTTTTAGTCTACTATTCCACACGGACATAATGTCTAATCAGTAGGGCTGTCAAGTTAACCCGTTAATAACGCATTAACGCAAAAATAATTATTTTAACGTGCGACTAACGCATGTGTATTTGTCCTCGGCCGCCCCGTAGTTTCAGAGCCCAAAGGCTTGACGTTGTTGTCCTGCCGCTCGCTTGCGGCAGACCACGCTTGAAAGTTTGCCGGGGAGACGCCTGGACACGGCGTCTACGAGCAGCAAGCTACAGAGACAGACAGACAGACACAGAGAGAGAGAGAGAGAGACAGACAGAGAGAGAGAGAGAGAGAGAGAGAGAGAGAGAGAGAGAGAGACAGAGAGAGACAGACAGAGAGACAGACAGAGAGAGAGACAGAGAGAGAGAGAGACAGAGAGACAGACAGACAGACAGAGGAATGTGTGATTAGATATTGTAATCGACTGACAGCTCGACTGATGAGTGATTCAAAGCATAGAACCTCCACTAACCGGCTCTCTGTGATGAATCTCTTTCTGGTTCCTCTGTAAATCTTTATTCAACTAATATCTCCTCCTCCTCTCCTCCTCCTCCTCCTCCTCCTCTCCTCCTCCTCCTCTGTTTCTGTTGCAGGCGCTCTGGTTGTTCATGTTTAATCTCAGAGTTTATTAAGAGTGGTCGTTCCTCTGAAACAACTGCTGGTTCTGGTATAAAGACAGCTCCAGGTCACATGAATGAAATGTAATTGAATTAGAATAATCCAAACTTTAACTCGTAAAGACATTAATATTATTATAATGAATGACTTTATGAAAGCCATCAGCCGTCGTCCTTCAGTCGAATCACCGCTCTTAAAAATGAAACTGATTTGCTCCAAATTAACAACTTCTTAAAAAACAATCTTCCAGTTATTTTTTGTCTGTCTTTGATTTCTTTATGATGTGTTATATGTCTAAGCATCAGTCTGTCCTCATTCACTGTGAGTGTTTGTTTGTGTTGCAGCCAGGATCTCTCGGAAAATTAGCTACTCTGGTGAAAAGTCAGATCCGGGTAAGAAACACTAAAAACTGGATTTTAATTTGTGATCATTTTTGACTATAATGAACACAAAATCACTACAAATGGACATTTCTTCCTGCAGGAGGAGTACGAGAGGATTAGGGGAACATTTTAATGGAGATCTGGGCAAAATTCTGTGGAAAAAATGAACAAAAAGAGTGAAAATATGTCAGAAGTCAGTTCGGAGAAAATATTTGAAAAATGTAAATATTGGGAAAAAGTGAAAAGTCGGGAAAAAAAGTCACAATTAAAAAAAAAAATGAAAAACTTTAAAATCCTGAAAAAAAATTCAAGATTGTGGAGAAAATGACACAATAACCAAAAAAGTGAAAATTCTAATAAAAAAATGAAAATTCTTAAAATTCTTACATTTTCAGATAAATTCCGAAAAATAAGTCATCGTTCGGGAAAAAGTGAAAATTGGTAGAAAAATGAATAAAACTGATCATGCTCCTGAAATAGTAAAATATTGACAAAAAGAAAAAACTCAGAATAATAGTACAATTGCTGAAAAACTATGATTTAAAAGGTCTGAAAAATAGTCAAAAATTCTCATTGAAGTCAAACTCTGAGAAAAAGTTAAAAACAAATTAAATTCCTCGGAAAAAAAATCTAGATTTGAGATCTTTTTTTAAATGAAGGAAAGACCCTAACCCCTCACGTCCCTCTCCTCCTCCTCTGATCCTTCTCATCCTGCACAGCTCTGTGTCAGTGTGACACACCCTCTGGGGCTGGACGTTACTGCACAGCTCTGTTGTTATCTACCTCTGTGTCAGTGCAAATGTTACCCTCTGATGTTGG